CTTCAGCAAAATTCAATAATTTTGCTTAAATAGCAATGTCAGTCATTGGCGTGCTTACGTATATGATTCGATAATATGGTCTCTCGAAGTATATTATTATTTATATTGTGATTCGATTACATCGAGTGCATTTATTAATGGGCACTACCGCTTATGTCGACTATATGAGTAGGGGTAGGTCTATCGAGGTAGATACGTGATATGTTAATGACTTTTATAATATCGGATTTATAATAGCGACTGTCTCTAGCTATTTGAGAAGAAAATGTTGAAATCGTACATAGAAATACCGAATATGGTACGAATACATCTGATTTTTTACATGAATTAAGAATTTTACAATATAATTATAAATCGTAGATTAGGTTGTACTAGGATACTAGTCATATAAATATTATTGTAAATTTAACGCGAATGTCGAATTACTTAATTGAAACAGATGCGGTTGCTTTCGATTTTTGTCCTTATTATTATTTATTTATCAATAAATTTTATGGCCATTAGAACAAGGAGTTACACATGAGATTTAACAGAATGTATCCAATGACTTGTTTGGTAGCATTCGACCAACGCATGATTCATACAATCAGTCTTTATTAATCAGTTCTTACAGTAATTAAAAAAAAAATCAAAATAAATAATATCAAAATATGTATTGTATGCCGTTACTTCAGGCGCTATTAAGACTTTGGAAAAAAAAAACAACAACAACAACAACAACAACAACAACAACAACAATAACAACAACAACAAAAAATTATATTTATAGATTTTAAAAATAATACTATTGATTCAAAATTAGTATCGTATCTCGCAGTAAAACTTTATAATGATAAATGATTTGCATTTACATCATAAATAATGCGTACATATGCTTCTATTGACACGCAATTCTCGACGTATAATGCTCTGCTAATCCTTACCGTTTAGCAATTATTCTCGGACATTTTTTTAAAAAAATTTTTCTCTTTTTATTGCTTTTAATTAAATACAGGAATGCGTGGAACAAGATTTGTGCAGATATGTAATCCACATGTGAGTAGTGGAATACGTATGTCAGATATTTGTAAAATGTTCTCACCAGAGCATGAATGACTTCAGCAATGATTGATATTTTATGTTTGCGCGCGCTTTGGGTCTCTCGAGTGAAAGATGCGTCCAAGAGGGGTCAAAGCGAGCAATTAAATTGCATAGATTTTAGCTTGACAAGTAACGAGACGAGATTCTTGTAATAACATATATTTTATTTGTCATATTATTAATTGGCGTTGTATGTGAGCGAGATGTTGTATATCTGAAAAGTGAACTTGTGTGGCTTCGAAATTGTAAAGCTCGTTGGGTCATGACTACTTTCGGCCTCGCCATGGGAATTCGATTCCTTCATCTTTGAAGGTCACTCGCGCTTACGAGGTTTATCTTGCTTTATCCACGTCATCGACGATGCTCGAAAATATATTAGAAATAGTCGAACTTCGTTAGAGTGGGAACCAAGAGCATTTATACTCACTAGTGAGAACTGAGTTATTTTGCTGGTTTCGTTAATTTTTTACGTGATTTTTACCGTTTAAGAATTTTTATTTTTTTTAGCATTATCCCTTTGGTATTGCAAAAGGTCTTACGCGTATAATATAAATTAGGTGTATAATTGTCAATAAGGATAAATAAAAAATTTAAGTTTAATTTAAGTTTATTTTTTGATAAATTATTTTAGAATTTGATTGTTTATTTTACTTGCTCGGTTTTTTTTTTCTTCTCTCTCTCTCTCTCTCTCTCTCTCTCTCTCTCTCTCTCTCTCTCTCTCTTTATGATTATTGTAATGAAAAATCATAAAAATACATCAATACTAATTTAACGTCTGAATTGGTAAATCGATAAAATACTTATTAATATTACATTAAAAGAAGTTAAATTTATATATTATTATATAATTGTATCAAGGTTAATTTGTTATTTGATTTAAATCCGAATGATTCAGTTTGAATTCTGAATTCTCAGTTCTGCGGTAAATTTCAATACTTTTTTCTCGTACTTTGTAGTTGCACCGTACAATTAATTGTACGGGCATTCGCTGTAATCTTTTGACTACTTTCACTGCTCTCAACAAAATTGCATTATGGATTTAAAGTTAAATTTCTTCTCAATAACAATGTATACAACCATATTTCTTCCGATTATAAATATCATAATAATCAATACATTTTATTTTACTATAATTTATGGTTGTCTTTACAGTTTCTTCTAGATATTTTTATAGATTTATGAAATATAATTGAAGAGTACATGACATATTTACATTTTAAATAATTAACAAAGAGAAGAAGTGCATCAGGAACGATAAATTAATTATTGAATTGTTATCTATTGAAATAGAGATTTTTTTTGAAAATCTTGTATCATTGAAAAAATCAGTGCATTAAAACTCAGTGCCTTTTTAAAGATCCTTCATTATTTTTATAACTTTACATAAAATTATTTATTTCGATAAAATAAATAAAAATAGAATTTCTAGAAGTCAAGGACAAGTAAAGAATTTCATTGAAGTTTTGGATCTGTTATCAATATCTTATTCAGCCAACGATCAGATATAGCTAAAAGTGAAAAAGTTATCAAGACTTGAATTTTTTCGTTATGTTCACGAGATTTAAAACTTGATATAAGCAATATTAAATATATCAATCGGTATTAATTGTCCAAATATTGCTGGTCCAGCATAAAGCATAGAGAATTCAACTTATTGTGAGAGTCTAATTAATAATATAAAATGTCAATAATGAAAATACCTTTTTTGCTTGGAACTACCAATATGTTTATATATTGTTTAGTCTCTGAATGAAAACTCTGAAAAGAAGCAACAAATTCTTGCCTAAGTAAGAATATAAAATAAGGTGATAAAATTTTCACCGAGCATCCTCGAAGAAATGTATTCGTGCCTGATGTAAACCGTAGCTCCGGTTGATTGCAATTTAATAAACAAATTTACGTTATTTATGTATTCATTCATTGGATCGAGAAATTTCATCGGGAACTAATATTGAAACTTTTAAAGTCATTAATATTTCATGATTTCGAATATACTCAATGATTTTGATTCTTAATGTTACGAGTTATTTTCAATTAATACTCGATATTTATTGTGATTAATTTTTTTTTTTTAAACAAAACTAGAGTTACTTAATGTAACAAAAGAGTAATGAAAGAATTTTAATAAAAATTCGTTATTATATAAATATTATTATATATCTTATTACAATGTTATTTAATAATTATTAATTCACGTGTTACATGTTAGATATAAAATTAACAAATATGAAGTTAATTAATAATATCGAGTTTGATCATACGAGTATCCATGTATTGAATTAAAAAAAGTATATTGAGACTCTTTTCGAACGGATGTCGAATTATATGATAAAATATTAAAGAATTATGAAAAAAGGTATTTTCACATTGTGGGATAAAATATGCTTTCGTTGCTGATAAATTGCATTTAAGCATGTAATATGTATAGTGCATTGCAAAGTATTGCAATTTATATATAAACAATACTGAATTTATAAATATTTTACAGAAAAATATTACAACGACCATATTTAATACGGATCTAACAATATCAGCATATTAATAATATAATTTTATTAAACTCGACATTTTTTCTCTCTTAATATTAAAGCATTCGCATTATTCTTATTGTGACTTATAGCAAATAGGGAAAACGCAACACAAAGTGCCTATAATAATAAGTATTGAAAAAAATTTTGTGGATTAAAATATAATCTTGGGAAAAATAATATTTGAAAAAATTAAACTAACGAAATCCATCATATCTGTTAACTACTTAATTCTTATGTATATGTATATACGCACACAGACAATTATCGATATTTATAACTATTAAAATATTTAATGTCTTCAAATTAAATGGAGAAAGGCGATCGATGTCAGTTTAGTTATTATTGTATAAATAATACAATTTTATTATTATTATAATATATGTATATGACTTTTTTAATACACATGATTTATAATTATTATAATACTAAAGCTTATTATATTCCATTTTCAATTTCAATACGTATAATAGCAAATAAACTTTATAATATATAAAAATAAAGATGAGGCTCTTATTAATTATTTAAGTTTTATAAATATTTTAATTACACTATTTATTTATTCATTTATTTGTTTATTAATTTTTTTATTACACTATAAAGTAAATTATTAACTTGTTAATTGTTCGTACAGAGATATAAAATAATTAATTCATCAATATATATATATATATATATATATATATATATATATTTTTTTTTTTTTTTTTTTTTTTTTTTTTTATATAGAATATTTTATAAATATAAAGTTTGCGTTAATCATTGATTGAAATTAATAATTGCGTGTTTTAATTTTAAGAATAAGTTTGGTCTATGTGTATGTGAACACTCGGCTGTTATTGGAGAAAAATAAACGAAAGGGAATAGTGAGAGCATATCAATTATTATTTATTTCGTTTTATGAGATTTGAATGTTGAGCATAAAGTCGGAACAATTGCTATCTCTGTACATTATATTTCGTATTATTCTCTTTTACCATTAAAGACGTGCAGTTCGTTTGAATAATGTGACTCTATTGGTTTATCGTTATTGACGTCACTATTTCACGATGAGCGAACGCATTGTCTCGCGTATCCGTTCTGTCGAATAATATTCTATTCCATATGCTCCAGTGTATGTTATTTTAATTTATTTACTTGTGTGTCGCAAAGTAAGAACCGTTAAGGTTACAATGGCGAACTAGTTAATGTGTACAAATCGCACAAGCGTTGCAAAATCCATAGAACTTGGATGACTTTACATGTATTATTAAAAGCTTTGAAAGAGTTGCATAATTTTAATTTTATTAGCAGTGCCGAGCATCTGAAACTTTTAATTGTAATTATAGCGAATGTAAGTTAGCGGTCTAAAAAGACGCTAACAATTATTGATTTAGAAAAACTTAAAATTTTTGTTTATTAACAAAAATGTACGCTGAAGAAGGTAAATACGGATTTTGATTAGTATATAAAGAGTTATAAAATGTTAAATATTACGTAGCCAAAAACTTGGTAGAGGTTATAATCCTAACCTATATATCCTTTGATAACTCTGATATTTATTTCCAAGTTAGTTAAATAGAATATTTTTTATTATTTATATTATCAAATTTATGTAAATCCGATCGTTTTAAATCTATTTAATCTATAACTTCAGATCAGTATGAAGATGAAGATGCAGAGGAAATCTCATCTAAACTGTGGCAAGAGGCCTGCTGGATTGTTATTAATGCTTACTTTGATGAAAAAGGTTTGGTACGACAGCAACTCGACAGTTTCGATGAATTTATCGAAATGTCAGTTCAGAGAATCGTGGAAGATTCGCCGCAAATTGATTTACAAGCCGAAGCTCAACATACAACCGGGGAAATTGAAAATCCTGTAAGGCATTTAGTTAAATTTGAACAGATTTATTTGTCTAAGCCGACGCACTGGGAAAAAGATGGTGCCCCATCGCCTATGATGCCTAACGAAGCTAGACTTAGAAATTTAACATACTCAGCGCCGCTTTATGTAGATATAACTAAAACTATTGTGAAAGACGGGGAAGAGCCAGTAGGTCAGTGTTAAATAGCATACTTGCTTACACGTCGAATTTAATAAATTGTATATTGGCTATATTAAATTCGCTCGATTGCTTGCAGAAACTCAGCATCAAAAAACATTCATAGGAAAAATTCCAATTATGTTAAGATCAAAATATTGTTTACTTGCTGGATTGTCGGATCGTGATTTAACAGAATTGAACGAATGTCCATTGGATCCTGGCGGATATTTCATTATTAATGGGTCGGAAAAGGTATAGCTATTTTTTACGATATGGAGTAAAACGCATATTTATTGCAATGATAATTACTGTATAGTTTGAAAAAATTTTCAACAGGTATTAATCGCACAAGAGAAAATGGCAACAAATACGGTATATGTTTTTAGTATGAAAGATGGTAAATACGCTTACAAGTCTGAAATAAGATCATGCTTGGAACATAGTTCTCGACCTACTTCTACACTATGGATTAACATGATGGCTAAGAGTAGTGCAGTGAGTTTAAAATAATCAATGTTCTAATTGTTTCAACTACCATAGTTGATATTTTTAAATGACGTCCATTTACTTATGTATCTCTTTGTTTTATTTATTTATTTAAGAATATTAAAAAATCAGCAATCGGTCAACGAATTGTCGCTGTTCTTCCTTATATTATCCAAGAGATTCCTATTATGATTGTATTTAGAGCGCTTGGATTTGTTGCTGATCGGGATATCTTGGAGCATATTATTTATGATTTTGATGATCCAGAAATGATGGAAATGGTAAAGCCATCGTTGGACGAAGCTTTTGTAATTCAGGAGCAGAATGTTGCATTGAACTTTATTGGCACACGTGGTGCAAGACCGGGTGTAACAAAAGATAAGCGTATCAAGTATGCCAAAGAAATTTTACAGAAAGAAATGTTGCCCCATGTTGGAATAAGTGACTTTTGTGAGACAAAGAAGGCGTATTTCCTTGGTTATATGGTTCATAGATTACTCTCCGCGTCTCTTGGACGCAGAGAACTAGACGATCGCGATCATTACGGAAATAAACGGCTCGATTTAGCAGGTCCTCTATTGGCCTTCTTGTTTCGTGGTTTATTTAAGAATTTGATGAAAGAAGTTCGAATGTACGCCCAGAAATTCATAGACAGGGGAAAAGATTTTAATCTCGAGCTTGCAATTAAAACAAAAATTATAACAGACGGTTTGAGATATTCGTTGGCTACAGGAAATTGGGGCGATCAGAAAAAGGCTCATCAGGCCAGAGCCGGAGTGTCCCAGGTATTAAACAGACTGACTTTCGCTTCAACTTTATCGCATTTAAGGAGAGTCAATTCACCTATCGGTCGAGACGGCAAGCTAGCCAAGCCTCGTCAACTTCACAATACCCTTTGGGGAATGTTGTGTCCTGCTGAGACACCGGAAGGTGCTGCCGTAGGTTTGGTTAAGAATTTAGCCCTTATGGCCTACATTAGCGTTGGCTCACAACCATCACCAATTCTTGAATTCTTGGAGGAGTGGTCTATGGAAAATTTGGAAGAGATCGCCCCAAGCGCTATTGCCGATGCGACAAAAATCTTTGTCAATGGTTGTTGGGTTGGCATACACAGGGATCCCGATCAGCTCATGGCGACGCTTAGAAAATTGAGAAGACAAATGGACATTATCGTGTCAGAGGTATCGATGATCAGAGATATTCGGGATCGTGAAATCAGGATATATACGGATGCTGGTAGAATCAGTAGGCCGCTGCTGATCGTCGAAAATCAAACGCTTTTACTTAAAAAGCGTCACATCGATATGCTGAAAGACCGAGATTATAATAACGATGGGTATATATATATATATATATATATATATATATTTTTTTTTTTTTTTTTTTTAAATTGCAAATTAAATTGTAATGTCAAAATTCAAAATATTGTATGAAATTTTTGAAACGCGCTTTTCTAATTAAAGGTGGCAGGAGCTGGTAGCTAGTGGAGTGGTCGAGTATATCGACACGCTTGAAGAAGAAACTGTAATGATTGCAATGTCGCCCGATGATTTAAGACAGGAGAAAGAGTACGCATATTGTACAACTTATACTCATTGCGAAATTCATCCTGCCATGATTTTGGGAGTATGTGCTTCCATTATTCCATTTCCCGATCACAATCAGAGTCCTAGAAATACCTATCAGGTAAGTAGATTAAAAGAATTGTGTTTATTCTAATGTTCTGATAATTTAATTAATTAACAAACGCATTTGGTACAATTATTTAGATCTGTGAGCGATTATCGCTTGTTCGCGCGCGCGTTTGTGTGTGTATTTTTTTTTAAATTTTCAATTGCTAATCGTAAATTAAAAAAAGATTTTAAGTTACAAAGATATTCAAATTTTCAAACAAATCCTCTTTATTATCTATCAGCTATTCCGAGTGCCTAAAAGTGCATCAGAATATTGCATAATTTACAATCAAGCTCTCACTTCACGTTAAAATTGAACAAAAAACAAAAGAAAGAATGAAAAAAAAAAAAAATGTTTTAAACAAATATGGTTTTTAGAGTGCTATGGGTAAACAAGCAATGGGTGTCTACATAACTAATTTTCATGTGCGAATGGACACGCTTGCGCACGTGCTCTATTATCCTCACAAGCCGCTTGTAACGACGAGATCGATGGAATATCTTAGATTCAGAGAATTACCCGCTGGTATTAATAGCATCGTTGCAATTTTGTGCTACACTGGCTATAATCAAGAGGACAGCGTTATCCTTAATGCAAGCGCCGTAGAGCGAGGATTTTTCAGATCGGTCTTTTATCGCTCTTACAAGGACTCGGAAACAAAAAAATTTGGAGATCAAGAGGAACAGTTTGAGAAACCATCTCGGCAGACCTGCCAGGGTATGCGTAACGCTTTGTATGATAAATTGGACGACGATGGCATAATTGCTCCTGGAATACGAGTCTCGGGTGATGATGTCGTAATTGGAAAAACGATGACCTTACCCGAAAACGATGACGAGGTAGATAAGACACTATCTATACCTTTTACAATCTGTCAATTTAAATTGCTTCTTCGTCGCCTCGCCTTTTCCAAAATTAAATTCATCGTTGTTGTTGTTGTTGTTGTTGTTGTTGTTGTTGTTGTTGTCGAGTCAAGTTGTTGTCGAGTCAAATAGTAACGATGCATTTATTAAAGGCTGTCGATACACATCCGAAGATTATTATTAACGTTTGCCATTGCAATAATTGTTTTCAGCTGGACAGCACGACAAAGCGCTTCACGAAACGCGATGCCTCGACGTTTCTTCGTAACAGTGAGACCGGTATCGTGGATCAAGTTATGCTAACACTGAATAGCGAAGGTTATAAGTTCTGCAAAATTCGTGTGCGCAGCGTGAGAATCCCTCAGATCGGCGACAAGTTCGCCTCGCGACATGGTCAGAAGGGAACGTGCGGCATTCAGTACCGGCAAGAGGATATGCCTTTCTCTTGCGAAGGCCTCACGCCCGACATTATCATTAATCCTCACGCTATTCCCTCCCGTATGACCATTGGTCACTTGATCGAATGCATTCAGGGAAAGGTTTCATCTAATAAAGGTGAGATCGGCGATGCGACACCGTTCAACGATGCCGTCAATGTGCAGAAGATCTCGACTCTGCTGATGGAATACGGCTATCAATTGAGAGGGAACGAAGTCATGTATAACGGCCACACGGGGCGCAAAATTAATGCTCAAGTTTTTTTGGGCCCCACTTACTATCAACGTCTTAAGCACATGGTGGACGATAAAATTCACAGTAGAGCTAGAGGGCCGGTGCAGATACTCGTAAGACAACCGATGGAGGGTAGGGCCAGGTTAGTATACTATAATCATCTGATTATTGTAATTCATGGTTTATTGGTTATATGTGATAATGATATGTGTTAAAGAAATTATGACCTGATGGTACTTTAAGATTATGATATTTCCATTATGAAAATAGCTACAACTTATTATTTACATTTACTCATAATTCATAACTCTAATATCTCATATTATCGATAGGAGCATATTTACCATTTAATTATACGTATCAGCATCACACGCACTCACGCACACATATATACATAAGACAACAACACAAATTCAACTTTGCCTATTTAAATAATATTGAATTTAGTATTTCTTATACCTTTTCATCAGATTTTTTTTTTGTTTTTTTTTGTTTTTGTTTTTTTTTTGTTTTTTTTTTGTTTTTGTTTTTCTTTTTTTGTCGATTTATTAATGAATGGCAATCACTTTAATTATTTATAGTAATTTTACCTTCATTAATTGGAGGGTATAAAATTAGACTCGTGAAACCAGTGATATAAATAATTACAAAAAGTTTTCAATGTCATATGTATGAAATATCTTAATTTAATGACTTTACCATGATAATTTATTAGAAAAAGACAAAACACTTGAATACAGCAATTAGTAATATCAATATTTGGACTAAAGTATGTATAATAATATATATATCGAAATTATATATTTCTAATAATTATAATTTGTAATGTATTGATAATTTTAATAGGTTTCCATAAATAAAGCTTCTATTATCATAATAATAAATATTTATTTAACAGAGACGGAGGCTTGCGATTTGGAGAAATGGAACGTGATTGTCAAATAAGTCATGGAGCTGCTCAATTTTTGCGAGAACGATTATTCGAGGTTTCTGATCCTTATAGAATTCACGTATGCAATTTTTGTGGTTTAATTGCTATAGCCAATCTTAGGAACAACACATTTGAATGTAAAGGATGCAAAAACAAAACTCAAATATCTCAAATCCGATTACCTTATGCTGCAAAACTTCTGTTTCAAGAACTCATGGCAATGAATATTGCACCTAGACTTATGGTTACTTAAATCAAGATTTATATCTTTGTATAATTTTTGTAATTATTTTTAAAAACTAAAACTTTGTAATGATTTATAATCGTAGATCTTAAGAAATGCAGCGACTTTTGATTAAATAAATGTCACTATTATTTCCGATTTATTTCTAATATGTATTCCTTCTATTTTTATTACGTTCTGGTAAATTAAAAAGATTTATTATTATAGCAACACATATGTACGTGTAAATAATTGTTTATATATATCAGTAAATAATAATTTAAATGAATAAATATTTTGAACAAAAAAAAAAAAAAAAAAAAAAAAATCGTGATTAGTCAAATGCATATGTACTAGATATTGTTTTTAAACTATATTTTAAAATTAAGTTAAAGCTGAAAAGTTTAATAATTTTCATACCATGTATTTTTTGTTATATAAAATTCGTTTATTTACAATAAATATAATGTTCTGAATCATATCCGAGAAATTAATAAACTATAAAGTTTGATGTAAATTAATTATAATTTTTAACAATATAGTTTCATGCATAATTATTTAAAGCATTAGAATTTATATACAAGATAAGAAAAATAACTCCTTGCATATAACATATATTATATTAGGCAGTTGATAGTTTATAAATTAAATTCATTTTAATCATGCTATTAGACATATAAATATATGAAGAATAAATGTTATAGAAGTGAAGTAAATGAATAAAACAAATACCAAAAAATGATTTTCTAATCAAAACTTTATTAAATGCGTAATTTTGGCAACAATTATATCATATAATGAAATACACTTTTAATTATATTTAAAAAATTATAATAATTATATCATGATTTATTTATGAATTTTTCTAATAGTTCTTGTTATTTTTTTTTTTATATAATTGAATCGTTCATAACTATAAGGTGAAAAGAACTTGAGAAACAAGTTTATAAAACATTGCTGATCTTGCTAATTGATTATTAAAAGAATATCTTTGATTAAAATTTTATTATGTAGCACTAATACCGTATTAAGACATTACTTAAAGCGTTTGTATAATATTTTAAAACATTGCTCAACAATGTAAACAATGAAATTTGAATAACGTGATAGTATGCTTTATTTCAAATATTATTTGTTATTTGAAATTGAAGAGCTGTCAAACAATGGGACGTCAAGTTCACATTATAGTTTTTGGTACGATATTAAGAGAATAAAAATAACAAAATTATCTCAAAAAAAAAAAAAAAAAAAAAAAATTTTTTAAAAAAAAAAAAAAAAAAAAAAAAAAATTTTTATAATATAAATTACGTAGATTGCTATGTGCAATGAGTACTTAATATAGTTAAAATAAATATAGATTTTTGTTTGGTAATTTTTCATTGTTAACACAATAAAATTAAATCAATAAGTAAAATTTAAAAAATCATCTTTGTGTATTAACGTGTTATAAATTCTTAAGTTTGATATGTCTTATCTGTTTCAAGCTTCATTTACTATTTTAAAAACATCAAAGATTAAATTATTTTGTCTCATATTAAACGACATGTATACGCTATGCAAATCGCTGTATTATACATTCATTATGAAAGTACAATTTACATTTATCTAGTTTTAATAATTATAAATAAATAATAAATGTTTGATGATAATATAAGTAAAATTTTGTACACAAATTAAGTATTAATATTTTTGTCGTATTATGAATGCCATTAAAATTTAATCTCAAAGCAACTTTAACAATTACATCAAGTAATATAAATACGAAGTACTAAGAGTAAGTATATTTTTCATTTTTAAATCAATAAATATGATATTTGTATTAGAGATCCACTCTTCCTGCAATTGTGTACACATGAATTTAAAAGCAATTTTGTGAAATATGAACGATCGAATAACATATGAAAATTATATTTCTATATAGTATGAACGCATAATAAGTATATTTGGCTAAATAAATTTTGTAGCATTGAAAGTCCATTCTGTGCGATGCACGAAGTCGAGAATTCGTAGCATTACCTCTACCAACAATTGAAATTAATAATTTATTATTAATTGTTTTTTATGAATATATTTATGAATATAGCATAAACTGGCTTAAAAATACCATTCGCTATAATAAAAATAGATTTTCATAATATAAAACTGTATTTGTATAACTTAGTGTAAAATAAATATATCAGTAGTATATAAGTGATTAATATTATTTATAATACTCATATGCATATTAATAATAATATTAATTTTTCATGCTCGAAAAGAACGGTGAAAAAAATTGAATAACAAAATAAAGAAAAAAATTATTTAGAAGATGGACTATAACATATTACATTGCTGTACAATTAAAAATTAAAAAAAAATTTTATATTAGAATTAAATGATAATAATGAAATATTGTATACATAAAATTGTTGATTAATAATGTTATTCGATTAATTAACGGTCTTTTACAGAAGAAAATAATTATGGGAATTAATTAATGATAATATTAAATAAGTTTATATATAATTGAAAATCTGTTATTCATAAACATTTTAATTTCTATTATGATTTGTTAAATAATTGTTACATTAATTTCATTTTTTCATTATGATCATTAAGATTATAATTTTGAATGTATGTATATTTTTCTCAAACGTTTATTTTTTAAAAATACATTTTAACTTTCGATCCCGCTGATTATGTTGTTTTATTATTATTATTATTATATTGTTGCTATTATTATTATTATTATTATTATTATTATTATTATTATTATTATTATTATTATTATTATGTTGCTTATATTGTTCTTATTTTATTCAATGCTTTAAGATGGAGATTTTGGAATTTTTAATTAATTTGCTTTACTTATACCTTTGTCGATAATAACTGAATTAATTTTATATTAATATCTAAATAATGTTTATGTTAATATACACGACTCTTATTGGTAATGATTGTTCCATACGATTTCGATGAATTATAACAATATCAATATTATCCATTCGAATATTTTAAAGCATTGTTTTTTTTTTACATAATGTTTACGAACAAAAGTAATAAAAATGACAATCTCATCATACGTATCTAATCGCTTTTGTCGTCATCAGTTTTATAGTCAATCTTAATAAATTGATTACATATATAATGCTTCGAGTTCGGTTATACACAATCAAATTATGCAATTAAAGAATAGTAATGCAATACATACGAACAATATACGACTATTTTTTTTATATTTTTGTGCGGTCTTAGAGTTCGGTAGAAAAGTGTCTATTAACTCATACATTTCTTTAATCACCTATTTAAATAATATGATCCAGTTAAAATTATTGTTTCACAAATGACATAAGAAAATACACATCGTTACATTGTTATATGCGTTAGATATATGTGGAGGAGCTATTATAAAATTAATCAAATTGGTGAAATGATTAATGAAATCAATATCACTTATGAAATCTTTATTTCTTTCAATAGCCAATATTTTAATCATTTAATTAGTATTAGAGAAAAGGTATTATTTGATTTATAAAAATTGTCTTTCGATAATTTTTTACAATCAGTGAATTATATTTTTTGATTATTTGAGCATAAAATATGAACATTTTATATCAAATTTATTTTGTCAAAGCATAGAAACATTGAGTATCGTAGCCCATAAAGCATCCAATTTAAAAAAAAAAAGCTTAATTCCCGATGTCCTGAATAAATGACGAAATTCAATGGAAATTTTTTTTATTTATCACTTATTAAATTAATTGATAAAGATTTTTTCTAAATAAAGACTTTTTTCGTTACTCTATCATTTAAAGAAAAGAATAAAATATAATCACATTCTTTTATATATATATATATATATATATAATACGTTTTATGTAGAAAAAAAGGAAATGTCAAAATTAGCTTGCAATTAAAGTGTTAATTTTTGTTTTAATAATGAAACAAGTGTTAGATACTCTTATTAGCCATTACAAATCTTAAATGGCAGTATAAAATTGTTTAAATTCCAAAGTGAAGTATCGTCTAATAATTTTCCAAAGATGAATATTTCTTCCATATTTATATAATTAATGGTATAAAACAATTATGATTAATTGTAATTCATTACATATACCTATCGTAAATTTTTGTTAATAATATTTTCTCATTGTATTGGAAATATTTGAAGCATCTAAGACGATTTAATTATGTTGCTATGTTGATCAGGTCTGTCTAATTCATTGAATTTCGACGTTCTTGATATTACAAACGATATAAGTGATACAATAGTATCACTGATATATGTTTATTATAATTGTTATATCATAATTTATGTTGCTACTGTGTATGCAATTATGGTTAGGGATAAAAATATTTAAATCGATATTTCTCATTTATTCGTCAAACTATTATTATTATTATTATTATTATTATTATTATTATTATTATTATTATTATAATACGATGCCCATTAATAATAATTAATAATCAATGCTTAAAATTTAAGAAATAATGATGGCAAATAATAATTTATCCATGTATTATACCATAGTATGTTAATTATGCATTTACTGTATTAGTTGATAACGATGAAACAATCGATAATATTTTTACTCCAAATTAATAATTATATAAATTAATGATTATATCTTTTAAAGGATTTATTATAATACATACAATCTATAAATTTTGATTTTTAACTAGAATTATCCGTACCTTAAGTATAATATAATTACGATATTAATAATTAACGTTTTTGTCTAATTCGATAAAATTATTTTCATAATTCATATAAAATTTATCTTCAACATTACATAGTAATATTGGAAAATTTATTGAAAATTTGTTATTATAAATACGTAAGATAATTTAATTATGTTATCTTTATATACGTATGTAAGTCACATGAAATACAATAAAAATATGCAGTAATAAATTTGATATCGATTGTCTTGTTCTATTTTATGATTATGTGTTATTCAATCGTATCTTATAGATTATACTTTTTTATTTTTATTTTATTATTATTTTTTTTTTATACATAATATACTTTTCAATTAAATTTATTGTTATATATATATATATATAAGAAAATAGTTATTTAATATAAATACTGATTACGCTATTTAAATATAAATCTTGAGCTATTCTATCGTTAATCGTTTTTTCATTATTTACGTATCTCAGTTAGTATTTATGTTGAATTTTTACATTCATGAGTATTTGATCACCACTAAATGTGCTTTATATTAAAAAATTAGTAATATTCAAAATATAATAATGACTCGAGTAAAGATAATAGGAGCAATTATAATAAGAATCAAAAATATTCAATTTTATCGATTGATTATAATTTAATTACCGCTTTGCGGCTGCATGTCATTTTAATTAACACTAACGAAAATATATTTAACAGAAAATAAAAAAAAACAGCGTGACTTCTATATCAATATCCATACTATTTATAAATTCTTATTTAAATATATAAATATCTATAACAAGCTCTTATCGACAAGTTAATGTAGGATTTTATCAACGGAAGTAAATATCTTATCTTTGTCGATTCCCTTGGGCTCTTAAATTTGACAAACGAGAAGAATATGCAAATTCAGATCACTAGTCTGATAATACTGTTGATAAAATCACATATAAAAATATCTAATGTACAATATAAGTACTTTATATTGTTATATATTAAATAGTTATTTTGTTAACGTAAGTATTTGAACGAGCATGTTTCGGCCTTAATTCAGCGCCTTTTCAATACTTGGAATAAAACTTTTCTTTTCTAGTTTTACTGCTACATTATGTTATAAAATACCCCGGAATTAGGAGTTTTATCTATGAATATAATAATGATTGTACAATCTAAGCATTTTGGCATTCATTCTGCCATTAACGATCAAAATTGTTTTTAATGACTGGGGCTTAATAAGATTTAACGATCGACTTTTACTAGTTATTAAGAATAAATAAAACAAATTAAAGACAAAATATTATCGAACTTTTTGTATAAAGTTATTGATCAAATATTTACAATAATTCTTTTAAATGGGATTCAACATTTCCTTGACAATGGTAATAGTTATGATAATAATTTATCGTTTTATATGGATTTTTTTTTTTTTTAAATTTCGTACATATATATATATGCGAGGTGTTGTGTTTAACATACATATTACGAATAATTTTTTAGTTCTGTGAAAATATAAATTGTTAATCGACAACTCCTTATTACATATTATATATCTTAACGTAAATTAATCTTATTCGTAGTTTTTGAAAAATAAATATATAATGGTTTTTAGCTTAGATTAAAAATACCGATGATTAAACATTTTACGTATTTGTTAATTGCTTAAATGATAAAAATGAATAGTAAAAATATACGTAAATGAATACGTAAACTTTATCTTTATCGATGCATTTCTTTTTATTAAATAGTTGATAAAATTTAATTGAGAGTACTTTATTTGCTAAAATGTAATTTTACTTATTATTAATTCCATTAATATTAATTAGTTTTTCGTTTCCTTTATTAATTAGTAGGAAAACTTTTGAGAATTTATAGCGTTGAATATAATTTTTACTAAATTATACGGAATATATTGGTTTCCTTGTGATTAAAAATGAATTAAATGGAGAAATAATATTAATTTACACTTTTCATTACAACAAGCCGCCAATGATATTAATCATTTTATGTAATTAAATTTTTTTTTTTGAATTTTACACATTAAAAGATTTTATTCTTGTAAAACTTTATTTGTAGATATTGATTGTATGTTTGTTTTCTCGTAATGTAGAAGTGATATTACTTGTTTTCGGTTGTAATTTTTATTTTTTTTTTGTAACATGATTGTAGTGGTGAATGATAAAATTAATATTTCATTATTTAAATGGAGAAAGTTGATGAAAAAGTCGACGAAATTGTGCTGAAATACCCATATACACGTATTTTTCAAAAGCAAATTATAATCATTTACCGACAGAGGCAATTTAGGACTCGGCAAAACTATTTTATTTTTTTTTTTTCTTTCATGACCTAACGTTTTTCATAGCATTGACACATACAGATTTTAATTGTTCTGGGTGATTGGGAATTTGAATTCCGAACAATTTGCACATATTTTTTGTGTTTTCCAACAGATATCCGGAAATCACTAATTGATTAACGTCCGTTAACAAAGCTATATTGCCGCGGCCTTGAAACTTGGCCTGGTTAATGTTTATACTTATTGAAAAGTGTGTCCGGATGGCTGGAGCAGGATATCCAGAGGCAAGATTCTGTGGACGTAGAGGAACACCGAGCCCGAAAAACAGCGACAGGAGAGAAAAGAGAGCGCGCTTTAAAAGTTTGTTAGCGAGCGAGCGAAGTTAAAAAAGCTCAACCGTCTGGTGCGCCAATACGCGGTCGCGCCAATTCTGACGTCAGATCACGTGGCCGGTAGGCGTGGAGGTGTTCCCCACCGTTCGAACTCGTCGCCACTCTCACTCTCGCTCTCGCTCTCTCTCTCTCTCTCTCGCGCTCTCTCTCTCTCTCTCTCTCACTCTCTTACTCTCTTACTCTCTTACTCTCTTACTCTCGATCCAGGTCTTAAAGCGTCTTGCTAGATACGCGTGGAGGTCGCGTGTGTGCGTCGGCGTTAGCGTCGGCATCGGCATCGGCGTCGGCGTCGGCGTCGGCGTCGACGTCGGAGTCGAAGTTGGCGGCGCGACGGACGGCGGTGGCCTTGGTGGGGGTTGTTTGGCGGTGCCGCGATCGCGCGTTTGTTTAGTTGCCCGCTGACAGCGGCCGAAGGACGAGGTGTGTTGCGCGAGCGTCTCTCTTCTCTCTCTCTCCTCTCCATCTCGTTCTCATTCTCGTTTACTCTTTCTCTCTCTCTCTCTCTCTCTCTCGCTCTCTCCCTCTCTCTCTCTCTCTCTCTCTGTCTGTCTGTCTGTCTGTCTGTCTGTCTGTGTTTCTTTTCATCTCATTTTGCACTTCCACCCCTTTCTTATATAACTCTGACTCACTGTCGTTTATTCTTTCTCTCTCTCTCTCTTCCTCTCTCTCTCTCTCTCTCTTCCTCTCTCTCTTCTCTCTCTCTCTCTCTCTCTCTCTCTCTCTCTCTCTCTCTCTCTCTCTCATAATTCCTCTCATGGTCGATCCGCTTCCTGTTGTCTCGCGGTCTCTCTCATCGGTCGCTCCTCGCCCCGAGGACACCGTATAGCACTGGGAGATCGTGCGCGCACTCTTGTCGGGATAAGGCTAGTAGCGAGCACTTGTTCCCTCGTGCTCGTCGTCGAGGTCGCGCCGGGACCGGTTACGAAGTTAGACGAGCCGAAGCCAGAACAGCAAGAATAGAAGGAGGAGGAGGAGGAGGAGGAGGAGGAGATAGAGGAGAAGGTCCATCGGGGCCGTTGGCTTCCGGGCGGCTCGCGGGCATGTCGCCGACGACGCCGTCGCCGTCTCCCCTGCCGCCGATGTCCCGCTGGTGATGGCCGCCACGCTGAGAGTAGAGGATGTCACGCCGCAAGCAGAGCAACCCGAAACCATTGAAACGTGAGTGCACCCAACGCATTTGGCACACTTAGCGGCGGCCGCTCGCCCGATATTTCCCTCCGTCAGCTGACTCCGGCTGCGCAGCCCGCTCACGTGCTCCCTTCGTCGGCCGGTCGACACCGACACCTCCACTGCGAGCGCCGGCCCGACGGTGCTTTTCGCTCGCCGATAATCGTCGATATCCGCTTGGGCCGCTTCTTAACAAATTCTATTCTATTGACTTTCGGACAGAGTGGAATGACCCTCGATCATCTGCCCCATCTGGTCTATCGATCGACAAACAGCTCCGTAGGCGTGATTCCCATCCCTACCTACATTACCCGATTAATTCGAGTAATACGCCCTGTAAACCCCCCCCCCCCCCCCCCCGCCAACGACGCCCCTTCCAAGATGACGTCTCAATAACGCGTGCATCGCCTTCTTGTCGAATGAATAGAAACGGGCAATGGAAAAATGTCGAGTGAGGCCGGTGAGAATCGGAATCGGGTTACATTAAGATAAGCCGCGAATAGTCGGGACGAAGGTAGCTGCACCAATAGTGACAGTTATTGTCATCGTTAATTCTGTCGCGGTTAATCGCGATAAAGTGACGATGAGAGCGCGAGAGTGCACGTGCATTGGCGACGACGGCTCCTTGCTGCAAACGAAAAATATAAATGGACAAATTCGCAAAAGTCATCGGTTACACACGAGCGTATCGATAAAGTTAATATACCAAATGCCAAGTACGAGGGTCGTTAAAAAATCTGCGCGGCAAAGCGTGAGGTACTTACTTATCGACCGCGAAAAACGAAAAGAGCATCGATAAAAGAAAATTTCCATTAGCCGGTACTCCATTATACACCTACGACCTATTAAAATTTTGCACCCGTATAACTGTATAAATTGGCAAAATACGGCGGAACGATATAAACGCGAACGATAGCATCCGAGCTCCTTTACGCGCTTGCCAACCTGCCTGCCCGCTTGCTTTTCTCTCTCCCGCCAGCTTCACCTCTCGTCCTCGTCCTGATCCGGCGATCCCTTTCCGTCGCCCCTCTCTTCGCACCAACCTCGTAATGCAAAGAGATGAGGATGAAACGGAGGTATTGATGGTGTTGATGGTGGTAGGAAGCGGAAATAAATAAGATAGAAAAGGGAAAAATAAAATTACAAAGAGAAAGGGAGAAGGAAAAGCAGGATGGAAGAAGAAGCAGCGAGCGCAAAAACAAAACAGGAATAAATAAAGAAGAAATGCGAGCGGGCGATAAAATTGTTCGTTTGGTAGGTGAGGGAGTAGCGCGGTGTGACAGGGCGGTGTTGGCGGCGAGAGGCGCGGGAGGGGAGATGATGGGGAGGTGGAGGGATGGAGAGAGCTTTATTACGTTATGAGATAAGCCACGCAAAAAGTTTTGCACGGTGCGAAATGTTCGCGCGCCACGTGGAAGAATCGAGACGCGGCGGTATTGGTGGCGGTGGCGGTGGCGGTGACGGTGGCGGAGGCGGTGTCGGTGTCGGTGGCGGTGGCGGTAGCGGTAGCGGTGTCGGCGGCTTGGCGATCTACAAGCGTGACGGGAAAGGCGATATGAATTTCTTATCTGCGCCTCGCTCGCTCGCGTAGCCCCGACTCGCTACGTCCTGCTACCCCACCCCCACCGAGCTCCCACCGCCCCCTCGCGCTAATCTTTGTTTCGCGCGTTCAACGTGTATCGTCCTTGTCGAAAGTCTATCCGACCGCGGATGGGGGGTGGGGATGACGATCGCCGGGAGGGGTATTGGCGGGGGGTGGGTTGGGGGGGGGGGGGGGC